TCTGTCTGTCTGTCTGTCTGTCTGTCTGTCTGTCTATCTATCTATCTATCTATCTATCTATCTATCTATCTATCTATCTATCTATCTATCTATCTATCTATCTATCTATCTCCCTTAGAAAAATCTGAATTATAGCTCTATTCAGCCATTTTAAGAAAGATGAATTTGAACGTTTGAGTGAGAAAAGCATTCTAGTTCTGCCTCCTCCATGTCACTGTCACTTTCTCCATGAGAAGCACAGTCTGAAGAGGGCAGAGTTTACGATTCAATGACCCTACTCTAAGCATGCTTTACTACACTAAGCAACAGGATTTGGGCCGTTATTTGTTGTGAGTTTATTTACCGAAAGTGTTTCACTTGTCTCCTCACAGTAAAATGAAGTATAATAAAATAGACTAAAAGCATTCTTTAGAAGTCATCTGAAGGGCTGTCATAGGGAAGAAAGCTTCAGAGGGGAGGGCCTGAAGTAGTAGATTCAGACTACAAGAAGGGAGACACTGACGAAACCATGTAGGATAGTAGTTGTTGTTTGACAATGGAGAAAATGATAGACTTTCCTTCATGGGAGATTTTCAAATGGTTGTCAGATGGCCATCCATCAGAGTTGCTCTTGTAGTTGATTTTCTGCATCATCAAGGGCTTAGATTCAGAGACCTCCCAGGTCTTTTCCATCTCTACAGTTCTACAGCTTCTTGAAAGCCAACTCAAAAACAATAAAAGTCCATTTTAAAACCAGTTTTAAATAGTGAAGGTCTTGACGAATAATGTAGTTTTGGCAGCCCAGCAGAAGCACAACAAAGATGATGACAGCATGACCTCTCTTGGGAGACCATCCCAGTAAACCAAGCAAAAACAAAAGAAAATTTTAAAAATGAAACAAGACAAAAACATTGCGGCACCTTGAGGACTGTGTTTTAATGTGAGCTTTCATGGATAAGTCCCCTTCCTCAGGCGTAAGAGTGGGACTACAATTTGAGGGGCTGCTATGGAGAAAGCCCTGTTTCAAATACTCAACCACTTAACCTCATTAGAGATGGGCACGAACTGGTTCATCCTGGTTTGCAGTAAAAACAACAACAATGACAACGACAAGAGGGAAGTTGTCAAAGCTTCCTTGTCCTTCATTCCATGGTGAGGTTAAAATTAAAACATCCAGCTCGCTTCTGGCTAGACATTTTCATCGCACTTAATCCAAACACTTGCTGCTACCTGAGCCGAGGGCATTGATTTTCTGCCCGGCTGAAACCTCACCGCAAGTGTAACATTTTCAGAGTTATCCAACTTGATTCTCTGTGCTTTCAGTTCCCTGTCACAAGAGGACTGGAATGAGCTGCCTTGAGTTACAAAAGGAAGATTAATTTCTTTAAAAAAAACCACAGACACTTGTCTCTTGTAGGGGAGAAAGTGGAAGAAACGGAAAAAGAAGCTCTTCAACCAGGAAGAACGATTTGTGCGTTTAAAGCGTTGCCAAGGTTGTAATTAAGGTCAAGCAACTGGGGGTTTGCCCCAGGGCACGAACTTTTAGAGGGCACTAAAATCTAGCAGTGAATGTCAGGAAGATAAACAACACTTCCCAACACTTAAATTTTTTTTCCATTTTGTAAAGAAAAACATACACTTTCTCTTTTTTGCAGAGGAACCTGATTCCCTTCCATCTGTTTCTCTGAAAAGTCCCTTCATGATTGGCAGATGATGCCACTTAGCCTATCTCTCCCTTATTATAATAATAATCTTAGAACTTCAGAGCTGAATATGACCCTATAGACTATTGGCTCTTTGGGCAGGATTCCCTCCTGTCATCACGTGATTATTTTTATTTTCCCCCATCATGAACCATATTACTATTGTTGCTTTTTATTTTATTATATGGTTTTTATTCTATTTCTATTCTATTTTTATTGTTAGCCGCCCAGAGTAGACTTGTGTCTAGATGGGCGGGGTATAAATTTCATTAAAAAAAAATTGAGTCCAGCACCTGTCAAGGAGGCCCAGTGGGCCCAGAGTAGACTTGTGTCTAGATGGGAGAGGTATAAATTTAATAAAAAAATAAAAAATATTGAATCCAGCCCCTGTCAAGGAGGCTGAGTGGGGAATTGAACTCTCAACCTACCTAAACCACAGAGCTATCCAGCAGTTTATGAGACACATGGGAATCTTCTGAGAGCCAGATTAAGTCCACCAGCTAGGGATGGGATTTTTATGAGAGCCAGATTAAGTCCACCAGCTAGGGACGGGATTTTTATATTTCCTGGACTACACATTCCATAATTCCCCATTCTGGGAGTTTTACCACATTATGTTGATCTACATGTGGTTTAATATACCGTATTTTTCGCACCATAAGACACATTTTCCCCCCACAAAACAGGGGGGTGGAAAGTCTGTGCGTCTTATGGAGCAAAGAAAACAGATTATATTTTCCTGTTTTCTTCTCCTAAAAATTTGGTGTGTCTTATGGAAAGGTGCGTCTTATGGAGCGAAAAATACGGTATATATATGACTATTCATGACCCCATGGACCAGAGCACTCCAGGCCCTCCTGTCTTCCACTGCCTCCCGGAGTTGGGTCAAATTTATGTTGGTAGCTTTGATGACAGTGTCCAACCATCTCGTCCTCTGCTGTCCCCTTCTCCTCTTGCCTTCACACTTTCCCAACATCTTGGTCTTTTCCAGGGAGTCTTCTCTTCTTACGAGATGGCCAAAGTCTTGGAGCCTCAGCTTCAGGATCTGTCCTTCCAGTGAGCACTCAGGGTTCATTTCCTTCAGAATGGATAGATTTGTTCTCTTTGCAGTCCAGGGGACTCTCAGGAGTCTCCTCCAGCACCACAATTCAATTCATGTGGCTTAGCTGGTAGAAAAGGCTTAAACTGGAAGGCTTTGAAATGTAACTAACTAGGCCTAGTTCCACCAAAGTTTCCTGTTCCTGCCCCAGTGCTAGCTGGGAGCTTTCTTAATGAAAAGGAAGTTAGGAAGAACCAAACTTGGGCCTTGTAGTTTAGGCCTTTTGTCCCAGGTGAGCCACATTTAGGTGGCTGTAAAGTGTATGTCTGTCAGATAGAACTCCCAGAATGGGGAATCATGGGGTTTGTAGTCTAAGGGGGAAAAAAATCCTTCCCACAGGCTGCAGATTCCCTTCCCCTCAAATAAAGTGATCAGCCATCTTTGGGTGGGGGCTAAAACTGAGCAATTCTGGTGCTTGATGAAAGCCTAGTTCTTATTTCTTGGTCATTACTTCCTCATCTTTAATTACCTTTGGATTGTCCTGCTTTACAAGCAGACTCTACCTTCAAATAGAGAACTGATCTTTGATAGCCATTAAGTGGAGGCCTATATTACTTCCTCATCTTTAATTACCTTTGGTTTGTCCTGCTTTACAAGCAGACTCTGCCTTCAAATAGAGAACTGATCTTTGATAACCATTAAGTGGAGGCCTATTCTCCATAACACAAGACATACAGCTACTCTGTGTGTAGTTTTGCAGAAGGATCAAACTAAAAACAGAATATACATGTGGACAGTGGAACCACTTTGGGTCAAATCCTGGCTTATTAGCAATAATGTCCTCCTAGACGCATTTCTTTGTTTACTAGATGGCTTAACAAATAAACAGTTTCCCTGGTATTGAAAAGCATAGGTTTCATTTCAGTTAAATCCCTCCATGTTTCCCTCCTCCTTGCTATTCTCGTAGGAATGGCTTCCGTGAAGTTAAGTGTGAAACAAATCCCATCTCAATTTAACTTCTATTCACTTGATCCAAAATTATCTCCCACGTAAGTTAGCATCAGGACATCTGCCATATAACACAGCACAAATCCCCCTGGATCAAGATCGTCCGGCACTTAAAAAGAAAAAGAACAGTACATAATAAGACAGATGCTTTTTTTTTGTTCAGAAAGAACAGCTTTGTTGCTGCTTAAGC